GATAATTGGTCCGAAATGCAACCTTCTGAACCTATTGTTTTTATCGTTACCTTTCATATGAGTGAAAAATTGAACATGGTTCTCAAAAGTCTATTGTTCTCTTTTCGTATGGTTAAGACACTAATACATATTGTTAAAGTTGTCAGTAACCTTATTTACCGACTGATGTGACATAAGCCAGCATAGGCCGCAAAGTATCTCTTGCCGGGGCATCTAAAACAAAGCTCAATAGAAATCATATTGACCTATCGACATTTTCTGTTCTCTGACTGCTTGTCACGCACTGTGACACCCCACCAAATATTTGGGAACGTAGGTTTGACTCCCAGTAGGGGCATAGTTGCTTGGCAGTTTCATCCACCGTCTGTTAATAAATTATGTTGGCCTCAGGTGGAATCACATTAATCGGCTATAATTCAAGCAGATTTTCTTTCATCAATAAAGTAACCTAACATATAACTAGTTGATTATATTGATTATTCTTATATTGTTCAAAATTTCAATAATTACCTCGCTCCTAAAATCGCTTCCATCAATAATGAGGTATATGCCTAACTGGTCTCTTATACGGACCACTCATATGAGTCAGTTTGGTGTTATTTAATAAATAAATTGAAATATTTAGGAGACAGTATAAGTCAGTATAATGATAAGGCTGAAGGCTCAACGACTGAGGAACTGGGGTTGGTTCCCGGCAGGGTCAAGGGATTTATCTCTTCACCATCGTGTCCAGACCGGTTCTAAGAACCATGTAGCCTCTTATTCAGTGGGTACCAGGAGCTCTTTCCCCGGGTGACAAAACAGCTGAAGCGTGCACCAGACCACTCTCCTCCATGATGTTCCGAATTTAAGAATGCGTAGAGCTTTATCTCCGCTCCCCCCATACGCCATTTTACTTGGTGCCTGATTAATCAAAGGAACGACTTTACTATTACCTTTTATTTAGTACATGTATTTATGCCTATCCTGCAAAAAATATATTTACATTGATTTACGTGTAGGTAATTTCAAGGGGAGAATATGGAACGTGTTCATCATAAGAAGATTGAATTGGGGCTTAAAGTTTTACTATTTAGGTCCTATCTATCTATCTACCTACCTACCTACCTATATATCTATCTATCTGTCTATCTATCTATCTACCAACGCATGTACCGCATAAGGCTGCAATTCCGACTAAATCTAGAAATGCACTACAGCATATGGCAAGATGGCGTCGAGGCGTTCGAGAGCTACTGGCTGCACAAACACATACTTGGAAAGATTGAAGAGGGACGAATTATACTCAACAAGCAGATCTAATACTACTGAATACATCAACGGCACGTAAAATTCAATAAACAATTAAATGTATGTTATTTTATGTTAATCACCTCCATTTTCATGTTGTGCTGTAAGAATTATTGTCATTGTTAACTATATATTGTTAAATAAATAAAAAATAAAAAATGTATCTATCTGTCTGTCTGTCTATCTATATATCTGTCTATCGATCTATCTATCTGTCTATCTATCTGCCTGTCTATCTATCTATCTGTCTGTCTGTCTATCTATGGCTCTACAACCCTTTGTTGGTCCTTGGTCCCTTTTCAGTTTCTTGCTCTTTTACACAGTCGGTAGGACTTCTTGGACGGGGGATCAGCTCGTCTCAAGTCGAGATTTTACGGCGACTTCCAGATGTATAGTTTGGCCCGATTTGGCGGAAGTAGCATGAGTTTATTCCCACAGATTCCGCGCTCACAGACGAACCCGCAGTTTTGTAGAATTTTAGTTCCGTAATTATCAGGCTACAGGCCGGAAGTTCCGGCTTCGTTAAGCGGCAAAAGCAGGAATTCCTTTCCCCGCCGCCCCCCTGGGGATCATCTGAAAGTTACTGGATGCTCTTTACATAAGGATTAAAGGCGGTCGAAACTTATAGCTGACCGCACTCCTCCATCTAATGTTGAAGTGTAGAGTATATGGATCTTTTCCTATACTCCTCCTATACGCCCTAATAACATAGCGTTGGGGCCCAAGGACGCCTTTACTTCTGTAGTTATCCTTCCAGCCGCATTATGGCCCTGGGTTCGACTCAGCCTCTAACAGAAATGTGTACCAGGAATCTTCCAGTGGGTAAAGGGCGGTCGGCGCGTAAGGCTGACAACATCAACGCCATCTGTGAACCGATTGTTTAGAAAAATATGGGAACCTCGACATCTCACAACCCTGTGGGCGTTCACGGCCTGTTACAGGGATAGCTTTACTTTTACCTTGGTGCTGTTTGTCACGCAAGGAGAAACAGGGTAGTGACTTGTTTTATTGTTTTGTGCCGAAGGGCAAAAAGGGTTACTGAGGATGTCCCTGCATTGTTCTTCGTTTGTTAAGCTCGCCTCTGACATTGATCTTGTCTTCCGATCTTCTTTTCAAACATCATTAAACATCTCCTTCTAAATGCCAGGCAACTTTTATTTGTTCCAAACAACTTACCTTCCTTTGACAAGTCTTTACTTTGCTAGAACCCCCCTCCCCCCCCCAGATTCCCATCTTCTAAGAAGATTTCTGTCGCCGGTTTCCTTGTATGGCATCATCATAATCAACTAAATCCTGATCTGCACGGATTAGTCCTACTGGACTGTCCCCACTTTGGGGTTTGTATTCGCAGTCGGTCCGTTAATCTTCATAGCTTATGGTCATTTCATGCCGTTGTATAGGATAGAGTCTACTATAAAATTTTGTTGGCAAATCTACTTTCTTCCAAAACGGATGAAATCAGTTGATTAGTAGTCCACTTCTTTGTTTAGGGTGCCACATATAAGACCTATTCAATTTAAATGAATCTAATAACATTCCCGAAGCCAGAACAACAACAATATATACCAGAACCACGCATTTCTATTCAGAAAATCTGTGTATTGTATAATTTTAAGAATGCTTATAAATAAATATAATGTACATTTAAACAATCTACTTTCGCCGTATGAGCCTCTGAATATATTGTAAATACCAAAAAAAAAAAGGCGTAGGTAATGCCCATCCGGCCTTCTGTAGCACATTTTATAAACAGCTTATTCCATAACAGTGGTAACCCCGCGAGTGTTAATATAGCTCTTGACTTATCTGTGAGTATACTGTAAATAATCAGTACAATTACTTCTTTTACTTTCATTACTTATATATTTTATTTAAATATAGGAAAGTTGTTTATGAAGTAAAAAAAAACAGATCCTTGCAGAAATCTTCGCCCTCCTTCGGGATGGAAGCGCAATCTGTCAGACACATGGTGTACGAGTGTATAGATATGGTGGCTGCTCACTGATGTGCCTGCCATCTGGCGGGTAACTGACGCACTTCTTGGAACTAGCGAAAGGCGTACGAGAATATCGAACTTTACAATACAACAATGTATCCCCGACGTAATGGGAGTGGAATGTTCATCACCATCATGATCATCATGACAAGGGCTTATCATTGAGTCTGATTCTGATCCAGTTAAATCCATAACACAACCCGCTTACCTGTCCCTCTAGTGTAATTAATTATTTTACTTGAATGCTAAACAACCAGATTAAACAACCATTTAGCACACAAGAAATGACGAGTCACGTATGAAAATGAATAACGAACAGATTTGTAAATTTATTAGATTACGAGCTACTTAGCTTTGTGCAGATGCAATGCACGCGAATAATTAGGAACTGTAATGGCGGAGCCCTACCTCCACTCCATCATAAATCCTCATGGCGTGATGTTTAATTAGTTAAGCAAATGAACAAATCTGCCTTTAATGCAATGGACAGTTATAATGTTGATAATAATGTTGATAATAAAGTAAATATGCCGTTTATTTTTGTAAACCTGGAAATTGACGGTCTCGGAAATGTTAACATATAGACGTACAGGGCAAGGAAGACGTTCTTTGGTATTCTAAGCTCTCTCGAATGCAAAGAAAAAAATGAAACACGAATAGTTGTAGGATAAAAAGGAAGAAAAAATGTTTGGGTGTCTAAAAATTTGGGGGATATTTAAGCTAAAAAATTTTGGGGTTCGAAGAGTCTAAAATTCCACACAGAGGTCTTTTACCGCCACGCTAAATGTGCTCAAAATATGTGGGAAGATGTGTGAATATCTAAAGAACAAACAAACAAACAAACAAACAAAAACAGATACGCAGCCATCTTTACGTGTGTGTACACGCACACACAGACGCACATATTATATAATATATAAGGTAGAAGGTATGAGAAAATCATAATGTTACGAAAATGAACACAAAGCCTCGGACCTAGGTGGGTGGACAATATTAGAATGGATCTTAGAGAGATAGGATGGGATGGTATGGATTGGATAGATCTGGCTCAGGAGAGGGGCCAGTGAAGGGNAAAATGTATCCAATAACAAAAACACGACGATAAATATATAAAAAAATATGTCTTCAAGAACGCAGAATAAAACAGCTGAGATGCGGATGAAAGAAAACAGAGGACGTAGAACGCGACGAAATTGCGACAGATCTGATTCCAGGAAAATTTCGGGATCTTTACTTTCACCTTTAGCATTATCGTGAAGATGAGTGATATAACACTAAGAAATTGTAATGGAGTCTCGTTCTAAATGAATTATCTATTTTAGGGCATCTTCAATTAATTTAGCAATATAAAATTTAATTTTTTTCACAACCGCACATATTTGGTACAGCAGAGAAAGGTGGATAACGTACGCATATATTATTTCCTACAAATTAATTGGTTACTTTTAGCACTGTTACCTGAATCTGACATTTAAGAGATAATCTCAGGTTCATGATACCGCTGAAACTCAAATCGAAATAAATATGAAAGAATTTCTGTTCTAAAGGGATTTTCTTTATTAATATGGTACGCTGGTTACATGCATTCGCGTCACAGAACGACTGCTGTTAAAGGAAATCATGCTTGCCACAACTGAAACTGTTCCATTGTCGCTAGAAGCATGCGCAACAGTACGCACATTTGCCTCTCGAAACTCGCATTCTCCTTTACAGAGATTAAAGTACGGTTAGCTGTAGTGTGTTCCTGACCTGCACTGGAAACAACAGTCTTGTTCCTTACTCCTGTTTAATTTTGAGGTTAGTAATTTTGTCTCTGTTGTATCGAAATATATCTATTAAAACGAACTAACTGTTCTGTACAGATTTGTGTACTTGTATTGGCCCGTTAGAAGACAAATTTGAGTTGATATTTAAGTGCCAAGCTTTCGATAATGTTACAAAGCATTTCCCATTCCTTGTTTGAAGAAGTATTGGTCTTGCTGTGATTTGATCTACAGGTCAGTGGTCTTTTATAGGCTTATTGTTTATCCGAATATGACCAATCAGTACCAATACTCTGAAAAAAACCTTCACTTTTCTACATATCTAATATCTGACAGTTTAAACGCTTTTGTAGAAGAATTGCGTTGTTCTTAATTTCGTTTGTGATACACGACAGTATTGTCAAAGTTTCATTTACACATAAAAATAATACTATTGTAATACAAACCTCTTTTAAATTTGCGTATGGCGATTGTAAGAGTATTTCTGAATACACAAAATATTATTACATCAAATTAACCAGTCGAACAACAATACTACAATGCGGAAGCCCGGATTCAATCCCAGGGCACGATAAAGTAGCACTGGGACAGGTTTCTTTCCAAGTACTTCCAATTTCCCCTTCCCATCCATCGCGCCACCAGTGCCCCATAGTTCAGGAACCAACAAACGGGACAAATAGTTTTCAATCAAACTGCACACAGTGATAAAAATAAATCATATAGAAAAATGGACGTGATATCTCTGGGGGCATTTTATACACACGAAAGCAATTTTGAAAGTTACTTCTTCGGTAATGTTCATATCGTAGTTAACACTTTTAGCTCACACAACAAAAACGTTTTCTGTTATGTTAAATCAGAGTGGCAACGACCACATAACTTCGCGTGTAAGTCAGTCGCTATGTCGATTACGTGTTCTCGACAATGGGGTTACGTATTATAGTGTGTGATCTACAATCGCCCGCGTTATCTGTTTCTGTAATCCGAAAGCAGCAGTGACACGGCAATTGCTATGACCGGGTGACGTACTTTTATCACTGTCACGTATCTCTCGTGTTAATTGCGAAGAAGTTTTGAAAACGTTGAGACTATTTTTTAATTGTGTCTGGTCTGGGAGTGGGGGGAAGGGCTTTAAACTAACTTCATGGAGTTACTATAGGATTCTGACGATGGTGTATAACACACAGAGATATTGGGTTTTCGGACTTTCTCCATCGTCCGGATTTTAAGATAACTAAGAAAAACACGACATTTCGGAAACTGGAACTGTTTCCGTCCTCAGGTGAGGGAAAACATCTATTCTGTTGGGTCCCTTAGAAAGAGCTAGCCTCAATCACTGGACGACTAAGAAAAAAACGATGTTTCGGAAACTGGATCTGTGATCGTCCAGTGATTGAGGTTAGCTCTTTCTAAGGGACCCAACAGAATAGATGTTTTCCCTCACCTGAGGACGGAAACAGTTCCAGTTTCCGAAATGTCGTGTTTTTCTTAGTTATCTTAAAATCCGGACGATGGAGAAAGTCCGAAAACCCAATATCTCTGTGTGTTATACACNCGTCATGGAGCTTATCCCTTCTCGAGAAGCTGCCAGTTGTGAAGTTACTCATGAACTTCCCAACACTTTATGGAACCCGAAAGTTCACAACCGTGTTAACAAGATCCTCCCACTCTTCCCTATCCTGAGCCAGATCAAGCCAGTTCATACCATCCCATCCTATCCATTTTAATATTGTGATGTATTCTGGGTTAGCGTAACTAATAAAAATGGGTTCTGGATTAGATGATTGGATTTATTGGCACTTCTTTATAATTAAAATCAATTATGACAACTCACAATTACTGTCTACGACTCGCTCTATTCCTTCTTGAACTACGAATGTCTTCACTTCCACTATGACGAATCACTGCTCACACATTGAACTGCCTTCAACGACGTCTGTGTGAAGAATCTCTCTAATCAAAGTCAAAGTCAAATTGCGACTGACCGTCAGTCAGTCAGGAAGTCTTGGTGCAGATAGTAATTACTGTTTGACAGTTACTGTCTTACTTTTTGCGGCGAGCCCTCTTTGACGAGAGGACGGGTCTGTCTTTTTTGTATATGCTGCTGATTCTTACCAGCGCAGTCTTTATTGGGACCAAGTCCCTTGGCACTCGCGACCACATTTTACTGTCTCAGATTTGAGACTTCCTTTTCGTCTCCTACGACTCGCAGGGTCACGGTGGAGGTATTCGACCCCGCCTTCACACGGGTTGAATCTCTAATTCACGGATTAACTCCGTTTTTCAACCGCGAGAGAACCGAATAGAGACAACCGCCTCAAAGTTTTCCATTACAGCTCTTCATGAATGCGTTGTCTCGGAAACGTGCATGAACTGTTGCCTAGCAAAGTGGGTAATTCCGTGTCTGGTTCCACTTTTCCGGCTTTTAGTAGGCGGTGTTTACCGAGCGTTGCCAGGCAACGGATTATTCCATCACAATATTATCCACACATCTATGTCGTGGTCTTCCTAGTGGTTTTCTTCATTCTGGCTTTCCCACAAATATCCTATATGAATTCCTCTTATCCCCCATTCTTGCCGCATTCCCTGCCCATATTATGCTCCTTGACTTGATCATTCTAATTATATTTGGCGAAGAGTGCAAGTTATGAAGCTTTTAAGCAGTTTTCTCAAACACCCTCATACAACTCGAATATTTGCACTGTTTAAGGGCCACAGAATTCAACTGTTGACATGGAAAGAAAATGTAGAGATCAGTGTCAAGAATCTTCGACGGCGTCGGACAGCGATAAAGTCGATATCTCAGTTAGCTCAAGAACTGAAGTTTATCATCAGCAAGGAGCCGGAAGTGAGAATGGGGAGGTGGGATGTCAGAGATCAGAGCTACAATTGAACACTTCTCTCGAAACAAAACACAGACCGGCTCCACGAAAGCAGTGCAAGAAGTATCTGAAGAAGAGACTGAGCAAACGTAAAGCTCGTTCCTTAAATTACGTAAACGAAGAAAGTAACGTATCAAATACGTGCTCTGGCAGCGTGACGTCACCACAAGAACCAGCACATGTCCGCCGTAGTTCTGAACAGCCAGCTGCTGCTTCCATTGTGCCCAGCACGCCACGAAAAGGACATGTCACCGAAGAAGACGAAAATGACAAGGAACGGCAATATGCAAGGAATTCACGTCGCAGCCATCTTGCAAATCCTAAGGCACTGGGAGATGACGTACTTTCAGACCCCGGCCTTTCGCATAATTTGACCACAGATGATGATAATTCTCCATCGCGGGACATCAACGAGGAAATTTATGAGTATCTTGCATCAGGAACACGAAATAATTCTTCGTACTCAACACAATTAAATAGTTTGGAATCCTTCCTAGCACCATTTCTAAATAACCAAATCACACCGGGCCCAACAAACACAATTTTTTGCGCACAAAATGAAGATGACATGAAACTTGTTCACATTCTTCGCTACATAAAATCTTGTGATGGCGCCCTGGACCTTCTGTGGGACTTCATTCATGAACATGCCGAGTTACTCACCCAGCAACAAGCAAATATATCACGTGACACAGTGAAACCCATTTATGGTGATAAACAGTATTGCTTGGGGGATGATCTGAAAGGGGGTGAAACAAGAGAATTATTATATGGTGTTATGGGACCTACTCAATACACGAGAACTTGTTCTACTGGAAGCAATACAGAGGCTGAAGAAAGGTCAAATGCATATTCTGATGCTGATGATAGTAATATGGAGAAAGATGACAGGATTAAGATAGTTGATACATCATCAGACACTGTGTCAAGACGTCCTCTGACACCAGGGATTGATTTAAGTAGCGAGGGCCAGATGATTTTAATAACTGGTGATGTTCAAGAAGCAACCGTTTTACAAACGGGGGTAGAGGAAAATGTTGGTGATTCATCACTGGAGAAAGTTGTAGCCAATGAGACTCACTGGACAAGACATGAAAAGGGGCAGGAACAACAGACAGCAAAACAAGAATGTCCAATATGGCAGATATTAAAAAAATTTGAATGTCCTTTCCAGTGGGTTCCAGATGTGGTCATAAACAGCATCCCTAATAGTACAATTCGAGAGAATATGATCCCTTATCTTACAGGTAAGCCTATGAATATAATAGAGGTTTATTCATTTCTCGTTTTTTAAAATAAACAGATATTTACATCCATAATAAATTCAGAAAATAGGAATAGAATGCAATGATACACATTTGCATAACACAATATTTTAACTGTGCCATGAGTCTTTTCAAAGTTTGAGTTACGGCGTTGTCTGAAATATAAATCTGATGAATTAATTTTTGTTCATAAATTTGAATCATTAAGACTTTCACATGTGTTTTATGCAGAAAGATATCTGTGTATGTGTTTTTGTGTGTCCTCCCATAATTTTCCATCCATTCTGTCCTTTTTACGATATTCCTTTCTCTTGAGTGTCCTGTCCTCTAGGATATTATGCCATGTAGTCCAATTAAAGTCAACCAGTGTTTTGGAAGGAAATATTGCCTTCATCTTCAAGGTAGAAACCAGAATGAAGCAGGCAGCAAACACGTCTCTGCTTGGTGTATGTTTTATGCTTCATCAATTTTCAATCTTGAAAATGGAGACAGCATGTTCCTCCAGGAAGGCAACTGCCAGTTCCATAACTCACAAGGGAATGGTCCGATCCCCCCGCCCCCCACTGCAAGAGTACACACAACAAAATCTACTGTCAAAATTTTAGCTGCTAATACGCACTGCAAGTATTTTTTATAAATTGCCGAAGTTACTCATTTTTTGCGTACACAGAACCGCTTGTACCAGAGGTTTGTACAACCCCAGCTGTGTACTTGTCAGATTACGATGCATTTGTGCCGTGTTATCTCTCTACAGACGCACCGGAAGCCTAGGCTGTGAGTCAGCCGTATTGCGTGTTGCGTACTGCTCTGCTCTGCTAGGGGTGGATATTTCTCCAAGGGTCTGGCAGGCTATAATATTGGCCATGTTCAGCAATTTTTAAAAAATACTTGCAGTGCTTATTATCAGCTAAAATTCTGACAGGGGATTTTGTTGTGTGTACTCTTGCAGAGAGAAAAAAAAATCAGGGCAGGTTTCGACATGTCGGATCGGACCATTCCCTTGTCAGATGACTATAATCCATTGATAAAGCAGATCAGACAGGATAAAATAAAAAATTAAGACTGTTAAAAATGATGCAAAAAGGTTATTTTTTATTGCGACCCATGAACATAGATCTAATTAAAATTACAATTGGAAATGTGATTAAGTAATGTTCTTTATTTTAAATATTTAATTTAAAATTCTAATATAATTCTTACAATACATTTCATGACAGAAAAGGAAAAAGAGTTCTCTCAGGCCAAATGCAATGTCTTTCGAGAAGTCGTCGTATTCCTCATACTGGTTTATGAAAAGACATTAGAGGACCGCTGGATGGAAGCGTTTGCTGATTTACAGCATTGCTACAATTTACTGGGTACAAGTAATCTTCAATGTATAGCAACTTCTGCTGAAACCAGAAAAGAAAAGCTAAACCTTAACATAGTTAGAGGAAACTATCATTTCAATGAAATCAAACGCAGAAGAACAAATTTCTTTTATGACATTGATGAGAAAGGGACAGAAAAGGATCTGTTAATAAGTAATGGTGGTAATGAGAATAATGAAATTTCAAAAATATCAAAACCTCCAAAACTTATTGCAAGAGGACAATTTGGATCTTCGGATGCTGAATTAATGGTTCAGCATTCAGCAGTAGATCAAACCATGAAAACAGAAAAGATGACAGGTTCAGAAGAGCATCACAAAGATGGAAAAGAAGATGAATGTTCAAGAAACAAAGATGATAAAGAAAATGCAAATGGATCTATATTAACACTTACAGACAACGAGGTTAAGGATGAGAAAATTGAATCAAATTTAATTGAAGTTAAGAAACATCCTAATGTTATTACTGATTGTCAAAGTGATAGAGCATTACATGAGGACATGTATATAGGTTCGACTTCACAAAATGCATCTGAGAATATACCAGTCTACCTGGAAAACAAAAAGATACTACAAAGCAAAAAAATTGGTAATGAGATAAATGGAAGATTAATTGATAATAAGATAGATGAAAATGAAAATATGCATAGTACTCAGAGTGAATCAAAGAAACTGGATACAATTTCTGAAGCGAGCAGTAGAGGAAATGCATGTGATCCAGATCTGAATGATGCAGGACATGTTTCTGAAGAAATCGAGAAGAGAAATGAAGGTAGATTGAACAATTACATGCTTGAGGCAGGTGATATTCAAAATGATAACAATGCGATAAATGACATAGAGAAAGAGATTGCTGCAGGAGGAGAGAGTGAGACAGAGAGGCAGGCACAAAGAATGGCAGCACTGGAGTATGTAATAAATGCAACATTGGCTCATATAGCATACTTCTCAGAGAGCTACCAAGAAGCCTACAATCTTGCAAAATGTATTGAACATATGTAAGTATGTCTACTTATTATGTGAAATGTTATTACTTCATTTTTTAAATAAATAATCTCGAACACGTGACCTTCCAGCTTGTAGCATTGTGCCTCAACCAATTATGATAGTGCATGTTTCTGAATGTGCCCTCTAACTAAGGATATTTCATTTTACATGGCCTCATTTTTTATTTACTTTTATGGGGGGGGGGATGCAGTAGCATAGTTGGTTGAGGCACTATGCTATAATCTGGAAAGTTGCAGGATCGAATCACAATGAGGTCACTGGATTTTTCAATTGATCTAATGCTTCTAGCCACACCATGGCTCTGGGGTCGACTCGGCCTCTAAAAGAAACGAGTAGCAGGAATCTTCCTAGGGGTAAAGGGTGGCCGGCGCTTAAGGCTGACAACCTCAATGCCATCTGTCAGCCAATTATCTAGAAAATGTGGGAAACTTGATGTTTCACAACCCTATGGACCTCCACGACCTGTCACAGGGATAGCGTTACCTTTTTTTTTAATATTTTTATGAATCTAACACAAATTTTTAATTTGTATGAAATGTTTATATGTTTATGCCTTTCTAACAGAATGCATATGAAGTTCAGTTGATATTCAACAATATGGAAAGTTCAATTGTCGGTAAAATACAAGTTACTGCTCCCTTTAATCCTACTAATATTTTAGACAGCTTCAAATATGCTAATTTTATCATAACATGATAGGACGCTTCCTGTCCAAGTTTTGTATTTAACCTGAATTTAAAATAGGGACAAATGGACCATAAGCTCATAATTACTATAAGTGTTTAAACAGTAGCTCAGGGTTTATAGTGATTGTACTGATATTCTTCTACAGTTTGAGCCTAATCAACAAGTTGCATATCAATAATTAATAAATAATTTACTGCATGCAGCATAATAAATTAATTTAAAAATAGTTTACTAGCCCAAATGAATAACAAGCAGCATCTTGATTATTCGCAAATGCTAATTCTGTGTTAGAACCTGTCATTTATAATTTGTGTACCAGTACCTCCATTCAATTTGAACCCAGGCTACTGTCTGGGGCCTGGGTTTTAATCAAACATGTATGGTATTTATGTTCAGATATGATCAGCTTGGAAGTACTGGCAAGGCAACAGTGTCTGCCCTCAGGGGCGCCATACTGCTTGAGTATGGCTATTTGGGGAACAAGCTGGGCCTCCCATTTCTGAAGAAGGCCCTTGAATTAGACCCTGAATACTGGGAATGGAACCTCTACTGTGGGAAAGTGTTGAGCAGAATTCGGCAGGCTGAGAAGTTCAAAGGAAAAACACCAGAGCAAGAACAGGTAGGTTACATATTAAGCACTCATGTGTAACTGAATGATTGAAACCATGGAGCAAGGTCCTTCTTGTAAAGCTAGTAGTTGCTCAGCTAGCCAAGAAATTCTCTACCTTCATGGAACCAATATTTCACTAAATAATATTGCAGATATATTGTTTTCTTACAGGTGATTCTTTTGGAAAAAGCAGTTCAACTTAATCCAGAGGATGCATCTGCTCTGGTTCATTTGGCCAATACCTATCGTGGTCTGTCTTACTTCAGTCATAGGCAGGATATGAAGGCTGAAACAACAGCAGAGTCAGTCATAGAAACTCGACATTATGTTCGTTATGGAGGGGCTGCTAACTGGAGAAGGAAGTAAGTCTATTCAGGGTTGTTCAGCATTACACATTTCAAGAGGTGATTGAGGTTAGATCTTTCTAATGGACCAAGAAAATAGATGTGTCCCACCCCTCACCTGAGGACAGGAACAGATCCATTTTCCGAAAAATTGCTATCTTTAATGTTGTTTAGAATAATGGAAAATGGACAAACTCCAAAAACCAATTAATTCCTAATTTCAAGAGGTGTAACTTAAGACAGGGATGTGAACATTTGTAAACTCAGCTATGTTGGATGTTTATAGGGGCCAACAAATAAAAAAAATCAAATCTGGACTTACAACCTGAGTTCCTTCTTCCGGATATAACACCATGTTGTCTGCTGAAAACGAAATTATGTTTCGGAGGAACATATTGCCTTCATCTTCAGGGGTGAAGAGTAAAGCAAGCAAGAAACATAGCAAGGAGAGCAGTCTACATGCAGAAAGCTGGATTTAAACAGAAAACACAGATGCATTACAAGACAACGCATCAGTTCCCAACATTCTTCGAGGATGGAGGAGACACTATAATTAAAATCATTGGCCACACCATAGCTCAAGCGGTTAGTCGCTGGCTTTCCACTGCAATGGCCCGCGTTCGATCCCGGGTCTGGTCAAGTGGGATTTGTGGTGGATAAAGTGGCACTGGGGCAGGTTTTCTCTGGGTACTTCGGTTACCCCTGCTAATCTTCATTCCACCAATTGCTCCACAATCAGCCTCACCTAAAATCTGGGGCTGGTACAATAGGCCAGAAGTGGCCGCAGCACAAGGGACTTAGTCCCACCCCACTAGCAATAATAATAATAATAATAATAATAATAATAATAATTAATTCAAGACATTGGTTGATTTTAAACGAATTACATGGAATTATATCCCAGAAAATAGAACCCCTGTTGTGAGAACATAAAATCCTACATAAACTTTAATTACCTTAGTCTAAATTATGGTAATGTCACATCCTGCACACCAGGCATAATTGTTACACTGCCAGAACCTCAGAAATCCAAGGTGCATCATATGAAGGTGAGGTTTGTACTAAGTAAGAGATCGTTTTTGATTAATTAACAAATCATTGTATTTAAAGCCATGTAAGATATGCATATCTGAGTACCCTGCATGGCCTGTAGTGTCCATATTGTGACCTTGCATTGTAACGAGATTATTTTAAAAGGACGATGGCAAAATAAACATAACAATCACACATGAAAATTTTTAAAACTCCTTATGCTTTTAGGTCCTGTGTTGGATTCTGTCCAGCACTCACTGAAATGTAGTTCAGTGTTGGAATATGCCCAATAAAAGCACAGAACATTAAAATCGAAACAAACAAATTTAAATTGGGTCAGTATGGTGTGTTATACGTACAGAAAAAAGAAGAATGTCTTTTGTTTTACTGTGCATGGTGTGTGAAAAGTCTCGTCGAGTTCAGTGTAGAGTTGTCCGAGAGCCCTGAAATTGAAACAGAAAGAGGAGGATCTTGAGGAGTGTTCACTTTCCTAGCGGTGAAATCTGGTTATTGTATGTTTCTGAATATAAGACACACCTTTCTTTACCTGGAAAATATTTTATAAAATCTGCATCCATCTTACATTAGCAGGTTTCTCACTGTAGTTTTCCCCTAATATCTGTGTCTTGTACTCAGTGTATCTTGTAGCTCAGAAACTACAATGGTGGTAATATGTACATATCCCTTATGACAGATTAATTAACTTGTGTTCCTTTATAGCTGGTCACAGTCACGGCAATTCCAGCATCAAAAAGATGAGGATCCCTTAAAGAGATGGCTCAATCCTCAGCAGATACCCCTTTCATGCCTGTCTGTTCCCTTGGAGACAAAACAGAAGGACTATCTGCAGTTAGCCAAAGAAATGTTCCTAAAAGCATTAGAGATAGAACCACACTGCCCTTATAATAATGCAAGGTGTGCCAAAGCATTATGGTCAATGCCTGTGCCATACAAAGACAAAGAACGAGCAAAGGAAGCAATCCTTCATGCTCTGACCTTGGCACCTAATGATTCCTTGGTAAGATCAATCAATTTAAATATATTCTTTACATTATATTTTCTCAGTATTTGAATGGGACCATGCCATGACAAGTCCATTATAATCCATAAGTTGTCAGTTGCTCAAATATTTACTTGTGTTCTCCTTGCAATAATAACATTGATCTTAGACAAAGAGTTTGGGTAAAGCTAAAGGTAAAGTTGAGCTTAATTAATTAAGCACCACACCATGAAGATATAAGAGGGAGTGGATGTCTAACTTCACCATTCTTGATCTCAGCATGACATGGAGATGAGCAGTTAGAATCACACCTCTGCCATTTTGCCTCCAGCAAAACAGCCCCTGGGGTACCCCTTGTGTAGGAGGCTGGGTTTGCCCGAGAGACAGTCTGGATGTTACAGAGAGGAGAAAAATTTCTTGCCCCTGCTGAGAATTGACCTCCAGTTCTTCGGCAGTCCGGCCTGTAGCCTAGTCACTATACTGACTGAGCTATCCTGTTAAAGCTCGTAAAGCTTATTGCAGAATTTCAGTTATACAGAAGTTGTTATGTTGTATTGTCTCATTTAAATAATGTAAATTTATGACACAACAGCAGAATTCAACTCATGGACTTGTATGCTGAAATCAGGCACAGATTTTTGTAAGATTGAATCTGAATTGATTCAAATATTTATTACTTGCAGTTGCAAATATTTTACAGATTATTGTTGTTATTGTTGTTGTTGTCATCATTGCTGTTGTTATTGTTGTTCAATTATCATACACCACGTAGGAATGATAGGGCACAGTTTTCAAGATAGGAGTTCCAAAATCACATCACCCATATATTTAGTAAGAGCCTGCAATACCAAAAACCTGTGTCTCAAGCTATCATAAAAAATGTATGGTTATCTTTGGAGACAGTTTGGTGATCAGCAGAATCTATATGAAAAAAGAAGTGGGAAAAAGCCAGATATATCTCAATAAAAAGATACAATTTCTTCATAAATATAGAGATATTCCTGCTGTTCTGAACGAAATAGACAAGGAACTTTGTTGGAGACAAAATTGTCTTGATCTGTTCATTTAATTGTTAGTAACATGGTTTTTACACCTGGTATGATTGTTTGATGTGAAGACCATGCAAGTGGTATTAAGACTTATTAATATATACACATTCTTCTTTCGCTATATTAGTAATTGATTTTACATTCAATATGTAATATCTTTCTGATATTTTCATTTGCCTATAGTTAAATATAATAATAAATTTGACTAAATTTACAGTTTAATTCTCTTAGCGAGTTAGAACTCGCCAACTTACATAGAATGGCAAATCTGCCTTATGTGAACTCCAGGTCCCACTGACCCAGCAGGTAGCACCTGTTAAGGGCCTTACCAAGGAAGGTAAACAGGACTTGTTAGCCATGGTAGGCAGTCTGTCTAGGGGAAGAAAATCCTTAATAAAGACCCTTTACTCCATGTTAAGGGGTTTTGCAGCCAGATGATCACCTGCTTAAATAAGAAAAAAGTTATTCATAATCCTCAAAGATGGCTTGATGTTTGAGGATGGAACAGGCTAGTAAGATCAGTAAGATCACATGATCTCTTTCTCTCTTCTCCACACTCCATATAATTTACATACAGTTTCCACATGATATCGACATGCGACCAAAACACAATGTGGAACTGACTGTATCTTACATAAAGAAAGTCTATGTGACAGGGTATACTGAATCATGTATTAGGAATATTTTGAAGGTCTGTGTTTAATTTTAAAGATTATAGACCAAGTTATGTGCCTGTTAACAGTAAACAGTAGAATCCTTCAGGTGTCAATAGTTTAATAAGAGCAAGTAAAAGCTTTGCCTTTACATGTTTCAGCCATTGTTGTCTATCAACCAGAAAGCATAGCCAACACCATAAAAAGCAATACTTTACATACGTATAAGTTTAAGGTCTTTCATTCTGGTCCGTCACACTAACCAATTAACAATCAAGTTCCTTCCATCAAATGTGACACTTTTTTAAGTTTTCCACCTCGTAAACATGTAAGGCAGGTGCTGACGAGGTGGAAAACTTAAAAAAGTGTCACATTTGACGGAAGGAACTTGATTGTTACATACGTAGTTTGTACATGGGTTGTTACTACAGTGTCATAAAGGGACTCCAGTAGTCATAGAAATAAGAGCGAAATAGTTAATGCAGTTAAAATAAGCTGTGAATATCGAGAACATTTGTTAAAATCAATTAATGTAACAGTGTAATTGCAGCCTTCATTTCAGTTGTTGGTTATGTAGAATATTTTATCATCTGATGTGTTGTGGGACATATGTCCACATGCGTGATGCTGTGTGCAAACCAGTGAAGGATGTGGCAGTACAAGGGACGTGCCATGGTGGACTGCATGCTACTACTATCACACTATGCATGTGTGTGAACAAAATGATTTGTAGCCCTGGTAGTCTGAGCAATAGGATGATGGCTTTCTGTGTTCTACCCAAAATTCTTGTTCCAATATTTCCTTATTTAATTTACAATCTCAAATTTATTTCACTCTTTAGTCCTTATTCAGAATTTTTCAAACTGATATTTGGTAGAACTTCTCACAATAATTCCTCACAGCTCATTTTCTCTGGTTACAGGTAAATCATTATGCTGGATCATTTTATGAATATTATAATGACTATGAAAAAGCACTAATTTGTTATGAAAAGGCAACACGTGATGGCAAGTTGAATTTTCCAGCTGAAATGGATTACATTAACTTAAAAATGAAAATCAGTCCAAAAGGAAGTTACAGCCCTGTGTTTCACCTTGACAAACTCGCCTCTGATTATTCAAACCCCAACTACAGGGTGCAAATTTTGTGCCACCGAGGATTTTACTTATACAAGTATGTCGTTTCTTAGAAGCATAATAATTTTTTAAGCTTGTGTTTTTATTAATTTTTTCAACTAAAATGTGATATAATGCCAGCAGAGAAGTATAATGCTCATAACAGATGTTGTGAAGTAAAATTATTTGTTGTAATATGAAAATTCCTGCACCAATATTGACCTATATCATTTATTAAGAGAGAAACTCAATAAAACCGAAGTGCAGTAATCATATGGACATGAAGAATGCCATTGGCCCTAATGAATAAGCAAATCTGCCAGGCTGAAATTTTGGTGTTTATATTGGTAGAAGAGTGTCAAGTTTTGGCTGGAGGTGAGATATTAACCACCATCCCTGACTGTATTGTCCCATACCACGCTATGAGAGCCTGGCTGTGTGTAACACATGAAAGTAAATTGATCTCAAAGGATAGTCTCTATTGAATGAGTGTTGAATTTGGGAAATCATGTTCTGGTCTATTGTTGGACCATGTCTGTCAGTTTTAGTAATTGAAATTAAGTATGGTTGCATGTAAAAACGTAAAGATTACCCACTTCCTAAGCACCACACACCACAAAGAGGTATGATGGAGTGGAGGTAAAGATCCATCAGTGCATTTTTTTTCACACTAGATGAAGAGGAGTGACCAGCACAATGCTCCTGTCACTGTTTGTCAGGAAGGAGCCCTTACTGCCATTTTGATTGGAGGCTAAAGAGGTCTCAGGGCAGGTCTGGACACAAAAGTCAAGAACAAAATTCCTGCATTAACCAGAAAGTGTGTAACAATTTAAAATATGTACACAATGAGAATTGTTTTGTATTTACTTTTAGTTTTTTAATAACACTGTCAGGAACTCAAACTCTGTAGTTTTCAGTAGTTGGATGGCAGCGAATAATAAATTGAAGGGGATGTGGAAGGAAACTCTCATGTCTAATGTAGGTAATACCCTGCATTTATCTGGAGGAACTGAGAAGAACAATGAAAATCATTAGTCATGTTTACGTTCAAAGTGGTCACCTCCAAAATACAAGTTAGAAGTTTTACCTCTCAAACCAACTTTCTTGATAATGATTACTATTCTGAATATAGAACTGCTAATGTTATCATGATGTAAGTTATATTAAAATGTGTTAAAATTATTAAAATATTTTTACACCACTGACAGACATAGAAGCTCTTTGTACTCTATTTCTTTTGAAAAATGTAAGCTCCAGATTACTGTAATGCGTTACATCTTAATTTGTATCTTTTCTTTTATTAGGATGGAGAAACAATACTTTAGAGCAATTCGAAACATCTGCACAGCCATAAAAACTGACCCAGGTAGTCAAACATTGAAGGTATGTGGTATATATCTTATTAATAGCACTATTTGTTAATGTGTGAAGTTTGTGTGGAAGCTTGAGAATATGTTCTAAAATCTTCTTGGGTTGTCAGTCACACAAAAGTTGAGTTAATCACTGATTACTATATATTGTTCTGCCACTGTGATGTCAATTTCTTTGCCCCTGTCTCCTGCCTAGCACGCTGGTATAATTTAAATCTGTTGGTTGTACAATTAATCAGATGTTTCTTAAAATAAAATAACATTTCTAATACTTAAAATGGTCATTTTTCTGGGAAATTTATGGCCTCATGATAGAAAATCCAGCAACAATATATTTTGACAATATGATAAAGACTAAAAAATAAAATTTGTGTCAGCGCTTGTAGTGAGGTGAAATTAAATGTAATACTAAAGCTATTTCTGTTCTTAATAGCGCATCTCATAACGTGCAGTAATTTAGATTGGCACATGTCAGCCTAGACTCAAATATTATACAACTCTTCCAGGTCAGTGTTCTCCCTCTGTAAATCCTGATGAAGTCAAATTTGGTATAAATACAGTTTTGTGGACTATAAAGTTTTGTTATAGAATATTGTGTTAGCAGTGCAATGTAGAGCTGTGTAAGATTGCTGAATAGATTTATTACATGCCATTTAAGTATTAGAATGCAGGAACCTGACATAATTTTAAATTTCTTAAATTGCATGTACACAGTTTATAAGATTCTATGCCATTCAGAATGAGGCTGATTTATCTAAAAAAAAATTAAATTTTACAAAAAGAGATCATGCCTTGACATTCCAAATTTCTAACTTAATAAAAAGTGAAGTTATGTTGGAATATTCATATATTTAAGCCAGTCATGTGAAAGTTCCAGTCATTATTTTTGTAATTCTTTAGTAAAAGTCATGAATTTCTTTGAACAGGCAGTATAATAATATCAGGACACATTTGGCGCAAATGTTTTATAACTGATACTAACATTGTCAGAGGTTACCTGTCCTCAAATATACAAGTTTGTGTACTGTTCAAGTCCGGGCAGTTTTTATCGAGGAAGTTAATACCATGAACATAATATTTTCTGTTCATATTCCTGCAGAATTTTTCATTTGTATGTGTTCCTTCTATTCTTAGTTGAATGTTACAATTGTCCCTCTGCAGAGTTGAATATTAATCATAAAAATATATGGGAGGAGTGGTGGTATAGATCCACACATTCTTAACATTAGCACTCGAGAGGTCAATTCAGCATCCGTGCTGCTTTACTAATCCCTGCCTGCTGCCTTATACTCATGAAGAAGTCACTGCTAACAATTGGACAAGGGATTGGATGGACAATAAAGCAACCAGAATGTGATAGTGTAGAGAAAAATTCCTCCCCCTTCGAAAAATTAATCCCCTGTCATCTAGTCCCCATCTTAGTCCCTGTTGTGTCTAAGCTATCAAGACCCCCTTCCTTTTGCAGTTGTTGGAGTTTATGCATAATTGTTTTATTTGTGGTATATACAGTATATGCTTCCTTTGTGCAGTAAAATGATTTAGTTATAGTGATACTTGTAGTTATGTGAATAATGTTCTTTGTTGTGCCTGAAGACATTCCACCCATGGAAATTCTATGGAAGAGGTATCTCCTACAATATGTATGATTTAATTGAACAAATGGCAGGAGACTACAAGGGAATGGCAGATGGGTTTGAGAACAAGGATTTCATAGAAGAAACACTTGAAGACATTCGACGTCTCAGAGAAGAAAATTGACTGCAATTATGAACATGAATCACCTTCAAATAAACCAAATTCTGAAAGCAATATTTAATGATTGCTTGTTCCATTAAGTGATAACAATAATTTATAATATATGAACTCATCACAAATTATTTGCCCTCTATGAAACAAAGTTATATATCATCAAAAGAAACAAAGACTTCATATATTATAAGATTTCCTTACACAGGTCGCTTTTATTTTGCTTTGAATTACTTTATTTCGGATACGTTCATTTTGATATTCTGGTCTCTATTTTTCTGCATTGAAATGAGAACTTGCATTCTTTCATATTTTCTGCATTTAAAAGTTAATTAATGTTAAGAAAAATGTAAATATCTTGATGCTTTAAGGATTCCTTACATAATAGTAACTCCATGCGTGTTATATTCTTTAAATTGGAAGTTGCTTATTTTAGGAAATGGTAACTTAAGTTGAAAGATTACACTACAGTACCAATGGTCAGTAACTAAGAATGCATGATTCAGATTTTAATTAGATTTGTTAAACACTGAATCATCTGGTTTACAAATGATCACAATTCTTAACAAATATTCACTATGTTTCACAGTCTGTTGTATCAACAATTGTTAGGTTTCTGCTGGCCTTACTGTTACCAACACATTGCCAGGTTACATCTCTGCATAGCAGAGGTCCTCTGGCCAGCCTGCAAGCTCTCCATATATAGCACTACCAACATTGCTTCCACATTGTTGTGCATGTCTTTGTTGCCTTGGAAACAGATGTGTGTGCAAAATTTCCGAGATTCTGCATGTTTGGTATCATATCACAGTACTATCAAACAGCATATTTTCATTGTAAATCATTTGTAATACAGTGCATACAATCAAGTGCGCGCCGCGGCTGCAATTTGCCGTGAGTCATACCACCACAGAACGGATGCAGTTGCGGGGAGTGTTGCAACTCCTCCCCGCGACTGCATCCGTTCTGCGGTGGTATGACTCACGGCAAATTGCAGCCGCGGCGCGCACTTGATTGTACGCATTGTATTATGGACTAATTCATTTACTGTGTTAAAGTGATTTTCATTCAAGTTTAATAAAATTTTTGGATGAAGATTCTTACCTAAATATATGGCAGATCAACATTTAATCAACATTGAACAAGTTCAATTCTTTTCAAACATTTATAAATTTGAAAATTACAGAAATCAGGCATATGTAATGTTAGATTTGTATGTTCTAACAGAAATTCAGTGTAAGAAAAGACGATTATTTATAAGAATGAGCCAATATAGGGAATTATAAGCTAGCTACAATGTGTTTTACAATAACATCGAACCCATTTTGAGATTATAATTTGCCATAATTTTGTTGTTTGAAATATGTTGATGCTGGGAGAAAGGGAACAAAAAATAATGTCAGCAGAAGGTCAGGTGGACAGGCAAATGGCTAGAAATATTTTTGCTTATTTGGGAATAAATTAGATCACTTTAATATATTCAGTGATATAAACAGGTTATATTCCTCTGAAAATGGATTCATATGTATGTAAAGGTACGGACAAAATCTGCTTAGTGTGATTAAAGTGTAACATCTTAGTCAGCTCTCATGTATGCTGTATTTCAGGAAGGAATTATGTATGACCCATGAAGATGTTTCCTTCTCAACTGACACTGAATAAGTTTCTTTCCTGTTGCACTGATAGTCATAAATTTCAAGATTAAATTTTTTCAAAGAAGGGATGCAAATGACAAACTTTCGACAGTAGTTCATAAAATTGTATGCAAGGCCTTACAGAGAACTGGTACATATGTTATATTTACGTTTCTTTATAGGAAAATAGTGTCAATTGAATTTAAAGCTGTCTATTATAGGTGGGTACCTGTAACTACAACATGTTCTTGTTCCTAAAAACCATTAAATTCTGTAAACGTAATTTAAGCTTCCTGTAATTGTAAATGTGTTTATTTGTTTTTTGTTTGTTTGTTTGTTTAACTCACTGTTGATAGATAGAACATGCTCATTAATACAGAGTGACCAGGTTTTGAAAGACAAAATAGGCACCGATGTGCAAATGTAAGGTGAGGGTGTTCATGTACTCAGACAACTAAGATTTTTACTTCTCAGTTTACTACTCACTTGCCTTTGGAATTTCGTAATTTAACACCTCTAAGGCTTCTTAGCTTATTTGTTTATAGGAAAAAATATAAATTAAATTTAAAACTCTCTGTTATGTTTAAGAACATGTAACAAAAATAAGTTCTTGTTCCTAAAAGACTTGAGTTACCATTAAATTCTTTAACCATAGTTTATTGTTTGTTTGTTTCAAACCACTGTTGATAGAACATGTTCATTAATACAGAGTGACCAACTTTTGTAAGGAAAAATAGGCACTTATATGCAAATGCAACGTAGAGGTGCTCATGCACTAAGAGAACTGAGGCTCACAGTTCTCATTTACTCTCCATTTACCTCCATAATTTTATAATCTTAACACTCCTAAGGTTTCTCAGCTGTTTTTATTGTAAAAGATGAACACTAGTAACAGGTTTTCTGGCCTGAAAAAGTTAATGATGCATGTTTTGCTGCATACATTTCATGCTAGACAGAAGATACTTGAGTACAGAATTATATTTATGTTTACTGGATTTATTTAGTCAAGTTCTAAATTCTTTAATAAGCATGTAACTTATTTCCTTAAAAATGGAATGCATGAAAAATAAAGTTTATAATTAAAGCATTTCTCACTCCTTTCTTAATTTGACATGACCCTGGGACCTCCCATACTCTCCCCAGAAATAAGTGACATTTCACATCAGTGTTCCATTCTTGATAAGAATCATCACTAATTTTTGGGTCACACTATATAAACATTGAGGATATGTATAATTGTTGCTAAGATATGAGTCGAATTATCTTCCTACCCCTCTGTTTCCTGCTTTATAACACACACTACATGATACTGGAAACATGCTTAAATGGTAGGGCAAGACTACATGAATGAAGTCACTCTTCGTTGTTAGTGCAAAATGGGTTAAATTTGTTAAGGCTCAGAACCCAAGACTCTAATAAACCTTTTGTTTTGCTTTTGCATTTGACTTTGTTTTAATGTTATTTGCAATTATACAGATTGAAATAAATTTGTAAGTACATAATTATTAAAATGTTACCTAAGTTTTAATGACTGAATCATAAAGTAGAACTTTGATACTGGAAATGACTGAACAAGTTGGTATTTCTCTTTGGGTTACTTAACAGCTCTTCTCAGTACTGAGGGTACTCAGGGTGTAGAAGTAATACTTATCCAGGAGATGCTTGGTACGATTTTCAGCTAGGTCACTGCCTATTCTGATTAAGGTTTTATCTCCAGTTATGTTCATATTTCCTATTTCCTACAAAATGAATCTAACGCAAGTTGCACATTAATGATATATAATCACACACAAATTCATGATCCTATGTTGAAATGACAGTAGCAGCATTTCTACCAAATCAAATCGTGTATGTTCATAAATTATTTAGTAACGCTATCAATCAGTTGCATAGCATTGAATGAGCCAGGGTGATTTTCTTTTATTGCTAGTGGGGTGGGACTAAGTCCCTTGTACTGCAGCCACTTCTGGCCTATTGTACCAGCACCAGATGATAGGTGAGGGTGATTGTGAAGCAATTGGTGGAATGAAAATTGGCAGGGGAAACCGAAATACATACTTGGAGAAAACCTGCCCCAGCGCCACTTTGTCCACCATAAATCCCACTTGACCAGACCCGGGATCGTACCTGGGCCGCCGCGGTGGGAAGCCAGCAACTAACCGCTTGATCTATGGCGGGGCCAGCCAGGGTGATGATCTTGCATCATGAAATAGAAAGAATAAAGGGAGAAGTCTATGTCAAGGTTTATCTGGAAGTACAGAGATCCATAAAGAGCAAGAAATGAATGACAGCCAGTAGCATGGCGTTTGTATGAGCTTTTAACAAAATTGTGAATTAGACTAGACATCAATAGTTGATACACGGAAGACTCCCTTTCTTTAAGGACTATGGAAATGATTAAAGTTTACGTATAGATATCATCTTTGTCAACTTCAGTTGTCAGTTTTTCCAATTATATCTCCATTGGTATTTCTACACATCATTTTTGCAAAACTGAAATTTCCTTGTTCTGTTCTGGAGCCGAACTAGAACCATGAAGATAGACAACTTGTATACACACACTGCAGAAAGCTTCTGTTTGAGTTAGACTTATGTCCACATTCATGCAACACTTGCTTATTTATTTGAGATACTCTGACTACAGATGTAGAGACATGTTGGCGTTTACTTGGAACGAAGTTAAACACTAATTCACGGATTATGTCGTTATATCGGGACGATGCGTGATATATGTTCAGATTGCTGCAAAAATGAATGTGTACATGCAAAAGACGATTTCAAAATTCCCGCCACCTACTATCGTCGTTTGTTTTCTAGTATTACGTCAATCGCTGTGTCTGTATTGAGGCCTGAGGCCTAATTTTCGGGCACAGTCGGCAGTTTTCGTTATGTTTTGTGCAGTCTGGTGTTTTTTGATGGCCTCGCTCGTGTAGGGGGAAGTAGGCAGTTGGCTGGCAGAGGCGCGGAGTGTAGGAGTAGGGTATTGTGGATCAGTTTGTGACGTAGCCCCTTTTGTTTGTGCGGGCATTCTGAAGCGCATCATCATGCCTATAAGGAAAAAATGCAGGTTTCTTGTACAAAATATCGTACAGAAGGTTTCGCGGGAAAATAAGAGGCATAGTTCATTTTTGTATACGAATATGCGTGATAACCTGCCAACAAGGGTAGCGCAAAGAGGCGAATTGTCGCATATCCCTTTCGGGAGACAGAATGAAGATTATTTGTCTTCATCATATTTCATGAAAAGCGCTCCCTGTAGAAATTTTTCCATTAGTTCTTCTTCAAGAATGAGATTTGTACAGTTTTCTGGAACCAATGGTGGCCCCCAAAGGCTCGGCGTTCAGTTGACACAAGACAGTGATATAATTGATATCAGTGGCGTCGATTCGTCCATACCCAATAGTTTGGTTAAATTTTTACATGCAGGACCCGAAATGCTGGAGAAATCTAAGAGGTAAGAGCAGCAATGTTATATTCTTTTTTTTATAAATAACTATAATGGTAGCAGATGCACGCGCTAGCAGCAGTGCGCGTATTATATAACGTTATGCGTGTCATTTTTTGCACTAGCGGTTTGAATAATAGGGCATTGCTTGTATACGTCATGTATAGGATGCTTAGGAATAAGTTAAACTAAAAGGAGATACTCCGTGCATGCCTTATGGGGTACCCACGTAAACTAATAATTCGGAAAATGTTAAGTAGGATTGGATGTTATGTTTTCACTTTATGACACTGTGCTTTGAAACTGTTGTGTGCAATTTTAGGACCCAGTTTGAGGTAACCCTTGTGAGGCTTGAGGCTGACTGAAATCATGTTTTGAAGGACAATGCTACTGATACTATATTATGAAGAATAGTTACAAAATTAAACCCGTGCCTCGAAAATGTGGTTGCTTAATGTATAGTTATAGGGTGATTAGCTTAATTTTTCTGCAAGGCCTCTCACTGGAAATTTGTCCTCTGGGAAATTATGCTACTAAAGTTGAGGAGTGTTTAGGTTATGGTAGTACAAGAGAGATTTATTAATAGTCCAGTGGTGTAATATTAAGAAAAATTATCTTCATAATATGTTCATAAGGTGTGAGCAAGAATTTAAATTTTTTTTCCATTTTGGTATGTCATGTAAATCACACTAGAGGATGATTCATACTCAGTAATGCAACCCAAATATGTGATCAGAATGCAGGTTGTTTCCCAAGCAGTCCTGGGTTTGAGACACATTTGCCTCAGATGGTATTTTTAGTGACCGGAACAGAAGTAGCATCTGTATTCAAGAGGTGCTAAGTTTGATTCACATCACCAGCTATCCCATTGAAGGGTTTTCATGGTTTTCCTGCAGGAAAATGCTGGGATAGTATCTCAGTTAGGCCATGGACACTTCCTTCCATGTCCCTTTCTATCAGTACTCCCTGATGATCTCACCATTCAACCCCTTATAGTCCAAGCTACTGACATTGGTGTTAAATAAGCCACCAAAAAAAAAAAAAACAAAAACAAGGCTGTTGCAAGTTCTCCAGTGTTCGTCTCTGTTTCATTTTTCAAAATTAGGTTCCAATCCCTGCCACTGAACCCTCTATCCAGTGGGTACTAGGACCTCTTTGCCAGTACTAAGGTTATTGAGGCATGAAACTGACACTTGCATTTACCCAGTGCCTTTTGCAGCTGTACCTGCACTCTCCAGTATGTACTTAATTGAGCACAGGGACAATTTTACTTTGTGGGATATGAGAAGAGTGCTTAAAAGGTGTAAGGAAGGAAGACTTTATGCTAGGAGGAGGTCAGTGTTCTTCATGCATTTATTGCCTTTGTCCCTGGTATCCACTGAACAGAAAGTTGAGCTCCAGTAGATATAAAGAGGCAGTACTTCCACTCTATGCTGAGATTTAACCCAGGTATATAGTAAAAGGTAGCCGGTCACGGTAGCCGAGCGGTCTAAGGCATGCACTGTCTTCGCTCACTCGGAAGCCGGGATTGTGGGTTCGAATCCCACTCAGGGCATGGATGTTTGTGTGCGTTTTTCTGTGTCTCTGTACAGGTAGAGGCCTTGCGACGAGCTGATCACTCGCCCAAGGAGTCCTATCGAATGTATAAGATCTAGTAAACCGAAGTGAAACGGAGAGTTTCATGGAGGTAGGCCTAGGCCCAAATTGGGGATGTAGCGCCACAGAAAAAAAAATAGTAAGAGGTAATGTTTTGATGTAGTTTGTAGAATACCAGATGATGGGCGAAGTCCAAAAACCCAGTAATTCTGAGACTAATAGTTTGCTCATGTGATGTCCTAACGTTGTTTACCATGTTTACAAGTGCCCACTGATGGACTCAGTTGTGAGCCAGTTGAATCCAGACCATATCAACTCACTCTTATCTCTACAATATCCATTCTGATATGGTCCTGTACGTACCCTTGCCTCCAAAGTGGTCTCCTTCCATGAAGTATTCCAACCACAAGCATAGACAAAAATCAATCTAAAAGATTCTTCTGTTTACTTAAAGGTAACTAATTCCTTGGGAAGCTAGTAGTTGCTCAGCTACTCAAGAAATTCCTAGCATTATGTGCAACCAGAAATGTTCATTGCTATTATCACAAGAGCATACCACTGGTCCCTGTCATTAGCCACATAAATCCAATCCATATCCTCCCATCCTTTTTCTTTAAGATACATTTTATTGTTATGCTCCCATCTAGGTACAGGTCTTCCAAGTGGACCTTTTTCCTTCAGGTTTTCCTCCCAAAATTTTGTATGCATTTCTCTACCACTCATGCTACATGCCCTGCCTATTTCATACTTTCTTTCTAATCATATTTGACAAGGGGTACAGATTATCAAGCCCCTCATTATGTGGTTTTCTCCAGTTCCCTGTTATTTCAGCCATCTCTTTCCTTAAAGTTATAAAATGTAAAGAAAGCAGTCGTCTGGGATTTGGCACCATGTATATGTGGTGTATGTCGCCGCCGTGAAAGCCTCAAATCTTATAAAATGTAATTTCTGTTGTGAAGAAACAGTTCGTTGGTCACTAAGTGGCTGCTGCAAAGGCCGCACCATAGCTCGAGTGGTTAGTCGCTGGCTTCCCACCGTGATGGCCCAGGTTCAATCCCGGGTCTGATCAAGTGGGATTTCTGGTGGACAAAGTGGTGCTGGGGCAGGTTTTCTCCGAGTACTTCGGTTTCCCCTGCGCAATCTTCATTCCACCAATTGCTCCACAATCACCCTCACCTGTCATCTGGGGCTGGTACAATAGGCCAGAAGTGGCCGCAGTACAAGGGACTTGGTCCCACCCCACTAGCAATAAAAAAAGTGTGCTGCAGAAATATAATTACTGCTTACTGCAGGGTTGGAATTTTTGTTGAAAGGTTGCTGGTTTTAAGAAGTTTGCAGTGTCTGTTCATATATAATGTTTGTGATGAACAGATGTGAATATGCAGGTTGTGCATAGTATGATTTGTCAAAACGACTTTGAATATACTTGTACTGAAAACTATTCTTTGCCTATCTTTGAATTATATTTTAATGCAGTAATGCCTGTTATTCCCTTAGTATAATTGAAATTCACTGTACTAGGTATGTGGCACTCCATGTCTGCCATATGATACAGTAGGTTAACCTTGGTTTGAAAGCATGTATTGTAGGATAATTTTGTGATAGCTAATCTTGCTGATATTATCCTCATTGCTTGTTAGTATGAATGGTACTAGAGACCAGCACCCAGCAGGATGAGGCATTCATAATGGCAAAATTCTGCAGACTCTGAAAGAATTATATTAGCTTGAAGACCGGGAAGACAATCATTATAATCAGCATTAACCATAAAACATTCATAAAACTATATATATATAACTATAACTATATATAACTATAACTATATATATATATATATATAACTATATATTTGTACTGAACTTAACAAATAGGAATAGTTTGCAGAGCTTGTGAGGTTAAAAGTGAAAAAGTGTACTCTAATTTGTATATGTCCTTAGCCTAACATTCATTGGCTAGATGTTAAAAACATTAGGGAGTAAGTTTACTGCAGTGCATACACTCATCAATTGTATTGTTGACATAACTAAATAGCAGTACAAATATTGTACCAAACAGAAGCATAAATAATTTTTTCTTATGCTTTTGTGGTATATACCTCACAAAACCATATGAAAATATTTTGAAAGTTACAGTATTAATGAGATCTGTATTATAATGTTGCATACTAAAGTTTTATATGAGGAGTATTTTTGAGTATCTGAGTACAGTTTGATTTGAGATTAATGTAATTGCAGCAAAATTAGAAGCAGAATAAAGTCAGGGAATGCTTGTCTCCATTGTGATGAGAGTTGTTTATCTTCCCACGTATCTAAAATCCTGAAGGTTCAAATATTCAAAACTTCATTCTAAGGGAAGAAAATGAATTGAAGGTGTTTGAAAGCAGAATACAGAGGAGAGTATTTTGAACTAACAGCAAGTAACAGGAGGATGAATAAAACTGTGTAATAAGGAGTTCGATAATTTGTGTACTCCTTATCAGATATTGTTATGGAGATGAAATTTAGAAGAATGTGACATGCTTATTTGTGATGAGAGATGCATATAGAATTTTAAATTGTGATGGGAAGAGACCTTCCAGTCTAGAAAACCGAAATTAACGGCAGTGGGGATTCGTTGCGCTGATCACGCGACACTCTCTATCCGCTAAAGTTGGCACTAACTTCGCCGACAAGCGGCGGTCGCTCGGTTGATATTGTTCACTTGCAGACTAAAACTACAGAGTTTGTTTTGTTGTTTGGTGGAAAGAAACCGCTTGGAAAATCTGGTTATAGATGGGAGGATAATATTAAGATGGTTCCTGGAATGAATGAATGTGTGGACTGGATTCAGTTTGTTGTCAAAAGGTTTCAATAATGTGCTCTTTTGACCATAGTAATGAATCTTAGAGTCCCTTGAAAATTCGGGATTTCTATGGCCAGCTGAGCTGCTATCAGCTTCTCAAGAAGGACTTTGTTCCAAAGAGTTAGTAAGGTAAAGGTATAATGATGACTGTCATAGCAATATGAAATTTAATCAAAATTTGTTCAGTATTTTAGGAGATAGAACATCCAGATACCACCTTCACCTTATGCATTTACTTTATGTGTGAACTTGTGCAGCTACAGATGAACTCAGTATTAATATGAGCAGCTTGGTGAAGGAAGCATTCTCAGTTGTAATACAATCTCATGGGAAGAGAATTAGAAAATAAATTCTTAGATTCAAATAGTTATTTTCTGGACGAAGATTTTACAGTTTAATCAACTGATTTATCCAGGTTAGTCGCAGAAGGCAAGTCTCTGATTCCTCTGTCTGATGTTCGCCTACTGCCGCCTGTGTCATCTCCGGACAAAATTGCGTGTGTTGGACTAAACTATCGAGGTCACTGTGAGGAACAGAATCGACCTTTCCCACAAGAGCCAGTCTTCTTCTCGAAGTGGAGCAGCTGCATTGCTGGACCCAATGCAGAAGTCAAACATCCATCAATCACAAATGTAACTAATAAGAAACCTCTTTATAATCCATGTTTCTTTATGTTGGCTTTGCAATGAAAAGAGGCATTAAGCAAACTGCAACACATCTCTTACAGACATGTGAGGTACCACTAAATTTTAGGCAAGATGGTGTCTTCTTTTCATGTTCACAATAAAAAAGATAAGTTTCAGCAGGTGTCATAGAAGCTGAGATACAAAATTAAAGCATCAATTTTGAGTAAAAATTATTTAATTCATTCTGTAGTAACTCTTCTCTATTTCATTTTTTATTTCTTATTTTGTGTTATTTTTCTACCGAATTTCTTCCTTCACTTGCTGCTTAGGTTTGTAAAGGTTAAGATTCATCCTCTCATGTTAAAATACCAACGTTAATTTCAGATTTTGTTTACTTATTATGAAGTTATTACCATGTTTGCAATATACTGCTGTGAGCCAGATGAATCTGGCCCACAACCTCACAATGGCGTTCTTAAATATAAATTTTAATATTATACTTCCATCTATATCTGTATCTCCTACGTGGTCTCTTCCCTTGTTTTGTGACTAGAATTTTGTATAGGTATTCCATATATCTTTAATTAGATAAGGTTGGCAAAGTTTCTATGTGTAAAGGCCAAGGCATGAAATTGTAGGTGGGTGGGTGGTAAAGGAAACCTCCACACATTCTTAACCCTGGCTATAAATGGAGATATGTGTTCAGCTTCATGTCCCTGTGGTCTTTATGTGTGTGGGGAAGAACCCTTGGTATTTACTGGACAGGAGGAATTATGGTTCCTAGAGAATTTCTGGATATGGTAATGAAGACAAATCTGAAACACATAGCCATAGTTCCTGGTTAGCTGCCACAGTTTGCTTCTTAATTAATCTTTATAAAAGTTATTTCATATGCCACTGGTAATGAACTCAGACTATTTTCTAAGTAAGTATATACCTTGTCAGCAGATACTCAGCTGTTTGTGTGGATTAGCTAAAGTAAACACAAGTGTGTGCATGAACTAAGCTGTTTGTTGGTTCAAACTAAACTGTTTGTGAATGTTGATGGAGGGATATCTTTACTAGTTCTACAAGACAGTGTGAATGTCTCTTGAAACTTATACAGTTATCCATACTTTTTGTAAAATGTGGAACATTTGGGGCATATTTTTCAGCTGAATTTTTTTTAGTTGGGAGGGGCCATTCTTTTCGAATAATTGTAGTCTTTCCAATAGCCATAGATTAAAATCCATCACTTTTTAAAGTGGTGTAAGTAAGGCCAGAAGTAAATGACTTATATTGTAGATTAGATACTGCTTTGGGAAATTTGTGCTGACATTACTTTTGGTTTCATTTGATAGTCTAATCTTTAGATGTAACATTCAAAGTGTTCAACATGCCAGAGATAAAAATACTTAATAACTTAATAAGGAGATGGTCAGGGCCATTAACAAATAAATTGATGGCATGCAAGATAAGATACAATTATGGGAAATTTATATTCAGATACAGGTAAGGGTTTCTGTTGACACTATGCATTTGTTAGAACAGTAGATTGTCGATTTTTGTGGGGAGAGGTATATTTTGAAAATTTAATACCATTTAAAATCGTTTTAGTAATCAGTCACCATGCTACCCCTTTTCACTGAATCTTTTTCTAATAGCAGTTCATCAGGGGAAACACTTTTCCCTCATATCATCCTACACAGTTTTGTGTGTGTGTGTGGGTGCGTGCATGTGCACGTGTGTGTGTGTGGAAGGGGGGGGGGGGCTGAATCTATAAGCCATTCTTTAAATACATCCTTGAATTGAGGACTGTAAGTGTGGCTTAAATGTGAATGTTACAAGTGACTCATCCAGCAAAATGGAATTATTCCTTAGAATGCTGTGACATTTATTATGAAAATGTATGTACCAGAATTATTTATTCTCTACTCATACTTTACATAAGCTTTATTGAAATTTGTGAAATATTTTGTCATATTGGTAAAAATTCAAGTTTTCTTCTGAGACATTTGAATTTGAATTTGAATTTACATCAAAACTTAAGAAATTTTATGTATAAATTGGAGCTGGGATAACTTAATTGGTATAGGGATGGGCTACAGGCTGGATGGTTGAGGAATTGGGGTTCGATTCCTGGCAGGAGCAGACTGGCTCTGGGACTCATCAATGTTTCTATCTAACAGGCACTGGGGGCTCTTTCCCCAGTGGTAAAGTAGCCTTGGTTTAATCACCTAGATATAATTGGATAAAGAGTACAGATTATAAAGCTTCTCAGTGTGTAATTTTCTCCAGTCCTTGTTACATCATGTCTCTCAGATCCAGATACTTTTATGAAACCCTTCTAAGCATTACTTTTTGGTAATGTAAAAGCCTCTTCAGTGATAACATTCTCAGTGACAGACCAACCAAGACTGAAAATTGAGTTAAGGGTTGTGGAATAACGGTAGAGTTTAGTTTCTTTTTATGTGCATTCCTTTCTCTGGAGCACTTTTTATTTTTTTCAAGGCAGTTGGCAAAATGTCATTTGTGTTTCTAAAGTTCTCTTTATATGCTGTCATTACAAGGTCACTGTCAAACAATAAATGAACATGGTACATACTTTCAACTTAATTACTGATAGTACACTTGCTTTGACTGGAATAACACATTTAATTTAATTGGCCACCCTTAAATGTCCCCATTTTAACTTTTTATCAGCTAAATGTCTCATGTTTTTTATGTAATCATGTCAGTACTTACAGAGTCATTGAATTTGGTTTGACTGTTTCTTACATTCTGTTGCCATTTGTGATGGTTGCTACAAAACTGGTAATGTGCTGCATCAGAAATAGTACATTTACTTGGAATAAATTGAGTTACTAATGCAGATCGTCAGTAACACTGCATTCAACTGTAAACTTTGGAATGACCACGATGAGTGACCTATTTTATGTGAGTTTCATGATAGTGGGTTTGGGAATGTGTGGTGTAGTCAAAGTCAGCTATTCATAGACTTCAAGAAAGCCTATGATTCATTTAGGATGCAAGTATTACACAATATTCTCATAGAGTCTGGGCTACCCATGAAAATAGTTAGGATGATTAAAATATGTTTAAATGAAACATATAGTAAAATCCATATAGGTAAATATTTGTCTGATAATTTTCCCATCCAGAATGGTCTGAGATAAAGAGCTGCTTTATCGCCATTGCTTTTCAACTTTGCTTTAAAATATGCCTTTAGGAAGGTCCAGAAAAACCAGGTGGGACTGAAATTAAATGGGACATATAAGCTGATGGTCTATGCTGATGGTGTGAATTTACTATGAGATAACATAGATTCCATAAAGAAAACACAGAAACTTTAATTGATGCTAGTAAGGAGGCCTAGAAGTAAACACAGAGAAAACTAAGTATATGTTGCTGTCTAGTCACCAGACTGCAGGGTAAAATCATGACATAAAGATAGCTAACAGATGCTTTGAAAATGTGGTGCAGTTGAGATATTTCAGAACACCAGTAACAAATCAAAATTTGATTCAGGAGGAAATTAAAAGGAGATTGAATTTGGGTGATGCTTGCTACCATTTTGTCTAGAATCCTTTGTCTTTTTGTCTAGTGCCTAAAAACATAAAAATGAGAATATAGAAAACTGTAATTCTTCCTGTGGTTCTGTATGGGTGTGAAACTTGGCCTCTGACATTAAGGGAGGTACATAAAGGATGTTTGAGAACAGGGTGCTGAATAGAATATTTGAACTGAAGAGAGATAAAATGACAGGAGGTTGGTTGGGTGGTTGGATAATATTAAAATGGATTTTATAGAGATAGAATAGGGTGGTATGGACTGGATTGATCAGGCTCAGGATAGGTACCAGTAGACGGCTCTGGTGAACACAATAATGAACCTTCAGGTTCCACAAAATTTTGGGAAGTTCTTGAGTACCTGCACAACTGGCAGCTTCTCAAGAAGGGCTCGGCTCCGTGAAGCTAGTTAGTTAGCGGCATAGTGAAAGTGTAAGAGGTTTCTCCAAAGGACCTTTTGAATCCCCTGAATAGAAGCGTAATAATTCAGGCAGTATGCTTTGTTACATAAGATGCTTTAATAGTATTTTATTTGTCTCTAAGCTGTGGTTACATATTTCTAAGTCAAAACAGCCTCATAATTAAAATGGCTTTATTGCATATTATAATTAATTTATTTTGCCTGGCTAGAACCCTACATACTGATTTGAAGTTTGTGTTTCTTTTCCCAGTGCTATCACACAAATATCAACACTAAGGACACTTATTTTGGAAATATCTGGTTAAAACTAGGTTAGATTATTTTGCTTGTTGGACTGTTCCAGGCAAACTTGCTTTTTACCAGATACCATTACAGTGATCTGTTCAAGGACAATGAACTAGGCAGGGCATATAACACACATGGGAGATGTGGGAAATGCATACAAATTTCTTGTTGGAAAACCTGAAATGAAGAGACCTCACCAAAGATGAGGGCATAGATAGGAGGATAGTATTAGACTGGATCTGGGAGGAATAATATGATAGGAAGTGAACTGGATTCATCTGGCTTTGGGACAAATGGTAAGTTTTTGTGAACATGGCACTGAATCTTTGGGTTCCATAAAAGTCAGGGACTTAACTAGCTGAGGGGCCATCAGCATTTCAAGAAGGGTTGTGATCAAATAAATTAAATTACTGTAAGAGTTCTTAATATGTTTGTTATTTAACTGTTGGGGAAAACGTCTCTCATCATCATTAGGAAATTCATGCAAAATACTTATGGTTCCTAAAAAATAAGAAATATAATTTAACCAAAGAAATATATAATTGAAATACTTTTTCCCCCCTAAAAGCACAACACAAATTAAAGTGTTGTCAACTGTGTGGGGTTATATAGTGCTGAATAAAGAATGGTGGTATGATTATGCATGAGCAGGGACTGTGAAAGATGCATGTTAGGATAGTAGCTATTCTTCAGTTAGGGACATTTTGACTATGAAGTAAAAGAGAAGATTACTACACTTTGATGGATTGCTA